TAAAAGAGGAGCGAAAGGGGAGTGGAGTTTGCAGGAGACAATCAGTTCGCTTAATTGGTTCTTGACTCTCCAAGACTCTTTGCCAAATTTTGCAGAGATCGTCCTGGCAGCTCTCCAAGCCAGATAAGGTCTGTGACCGTAAATCCTCCCTCGAAAGACTTTGCTGGATGCGAATGAGCAGAATTCACAGTCAATTCATAAAAAGGGTTTTTGTCGGGAGAAAGAGTTGCTTCAGGCTCTTGGGAAGCCTAGGTCGAGATGTAACGTGGTGGCCTTTTTTATGCCAACAGATGCTGGTGGATAGTGTTTAAGGATAGCTCCTTGCTTAACTCCTAGCAGTAGTCTAGCCCGGATGCTAATCTGTTTCTGGGTCCTACTCCATTCCACAAAGTAAAGGGGGTTCTCAACCTAAGCTCACAACAGAGCCCCAAATCTCTGTGAGACAGTGGTTCAGTAAGCTTTGCCCCATTTTACGACCTTTCTTGCCACGGTTGTTAAGTGAATCCCTGGAGCTGTTCGGTTGCTAAGGGAATCTGGCTTCTCCATTGACTTTGCTTGGGAGAAGGTCTCAAAAAGCGATCACATGGCCCCGGCATACAGTCCTAAATCTGAATTTTGTTCACGTGGCCATAGAGACGGTCGTAGGCGTGAGAAAACGGTCATGCATCGCTTTTTTGAGTGATGTTGTAACTTTGAACGGTCACTAAACAACGTAAATCGAGGACTACTTGTATCAGTTTATTGCGGTTGCAAAGCAGGCTCCTGTGGCAGGAGGCCATCGCTCTCTTTTTCCTTCGGTGTCTTTGCATAATAGCGGCTCTGATAAGATATTTAATCTTATTAAGGATTAAAGATTACTGTGAAGCGTACAGTATAATGAGTCAGAACCCACCGTTGTAGTTGATTGATTGGAGAGTGTGGGCTCCTGCATGAGGCAATCTATGTTATGATTGGTTGTTGGGTATAAAAGGGGTGGTTCCCTTTTTTCCCGCCTTTTTTCCCTTCTGTGTGCTCTGTATGCTGTTCTGTAATTTACCTCACGATTTACCTCACAATGTAGCGATGTGCCTGACTCTCTTGTTTGTTGTATATGTAAACATGGTCCTCGATTGACAACAGCTCACTTCGTGACCATTGGAAGTTACCCCATCCCTGAAAAAAGGGGGACTTGCAACCATTTTTCACACTTACAACCATTACAACTTCCCCGAGGTCAAAATTCAGTTGCTTGGCCCCTGACTCCTATTTATAACGGTCACAACGTCCTGGAGAATCACTTGATTCCCCCTTGGCAACTTTCTGTCACGCCAAGCCAAAGGGGGAAGCCAGATTCCCTTAACAACCGAGTTACTAACTTAACCACGGCAGCTATTCACTTAACAACGGTGGCAAGAAAGTTGGTTCAAAACTCACTGAACGTAGGTCTTCACTTAGCAACAGACATTGCTGAGGGGGCTCGATTGTGGTCGTAAGTCGAGGACTACCTATACATGTGAAATATATTTATTTAGAGAAAACTACAATTTCGTGCGGGGGCGTCTCTGACTCCATTTTTGTTTTTCTTACACAGTTCCTGGTCATGTTGTCACAATGGTGCACCCAGACGCATTCTCTCACCCTCCAAAATCTCAAACCCAGGCAGAGGGGGAAGAAGGAGACGAAGGAGGATTACATAAAAAGCACACGGTGAGGAAGATTGCAGCCTTCCAATATCTGAAGAAGCAATGGGTGGAAACTAATCAAGGAGAAAAGCAACCTAGAATTAAGGGGAATCTTCCTAATAGTTAGGAAACAATTAGCCAGTGGAACTCCTTGCCACCAGAAGTTGCGGGTGCTCCATCACTGGAGGTTTTAGAAGAAGAGATTGGACAGCCATTGGTTTGGAATAGTGTAGGGTCTCCTGCTTGAGCAGGGGGCTGGACTAGAAGACCTCCAAGGTCCCTGCCAACTGCAATTCTGATAAGATCGATAGAAAGTGGGGAGACTGGTCGTACCATCCATTTTTCCTGGGTCAGGAGAGGAGCTACTGACATGTTCCAGGCCAAAGACCATCAGCCACTGCTGTTGGCACAGAGACAGGGCACTAGTCTTGGTCGTCCTGGCAGGGGCACATGGGCCTAGGGTTTGGTGTTTCCATTGGGCTTTCGTTTTAATGTGATTATAGGAGGGACGTGGTGGCTCAGTGGCTAAGACGCTGAGCTTGTCGATCAGAAAGGTTGGCAGTTCGGCGGTTCGAATCCCTAGCGCCGCGTAACGGAGTGAGCTCCCGTTACTCGTCCCAGCTTCTGCCAACTTGGCAGTTCGAAAGGTCGTAAAAAATGCAAGTAGAAAAATAGGGACCACTTTGGTGGGAAGGGAACAGCATTCCGTGCACCTTCAGT